TGATCAACACGTAAATTCCACACAACAATTTCAATACAACATTCAGCAAACATGTGATGTGAATTGACAAAACATCAACTTTGGAAGTTCAAAAATAAGTTCCATAATTGTAATTTACTGAAATAAGAAATATTTGTTAAATTACAACATGGGTCTTACTTGAGAAGATTTTTCTACTCTGCTGAGTAAAATGCCAAAACTGTTAGTCAACCAAGTAGGGTTGCACTAGTGGTTATATTACTATAGGTAACTATAAATGTTCTGACACATTGAAAGCTGGAATACACCAGAAAGTAAGTACACGATGGCTAATATTCATGTTCTCCAAAGATAGGATATCATGGCTTTGTATCCCATTTAACAGTTTGCTCAACCACTGCACTACTCCTTTTATTCAATCAGAGGCAGTTTATTATATTCTGTTTAGTGTAGAAAAGATAAGCAAATGAAGCCTGCATTTAGTTGGTAGCTTGAAGAGAGGTAATAGTGGAAAATCTAACTTATAACCTGTAGACAAAAAATTGGCTTGTTATCTACCTTTTTCATACATCTGGGTTATTTAGCTCCCCATTCAAGTATTGACATAATTTGTGTAAAAACATCAACATTGTCAGACAAAATAAAACTGACCTCAATTCATGTTAACCATTTAACTCCCACAAGTGATTAACATGAAACTTCTTCCTATAATATCCATACACTATTCAGCAAACAGGTAATGAGAATAATCCAACTTATTGCGTAGAAGCCACCATCTTGATTTAGCAATAAGTTCTCATAGCTAAGTTACAAGGAAATGTGTAACAGCTAGAGGGGAAAATTAACAATCAGATCTTGGGAGTTAAAGGGTTATATCAATAATGCTTTTCTGGCAAGCACTTTCAGTTACTGCTGTTATTGCTATTGTTTAGCTCAATTTTCTCAAAATTTGCCCCTCTAAAGCATTACAACACCATTAATGTTTTCGCTGACTGGAAATTTGGGGAACAACTGAATACAGATTTTTATTAAACAGTAAATACAATCCTTCAAAAATATTCAAGGTGCAACCCATACCTTACCTAAAATGATACTTTTTCTGGTGTAGGATTAACCTGGAGTTTTAGTCAACGCAACCATTACTCTACACAACCATTTTGTTAGGAAGGATCTGAGTATTTCGGTTTTATCAAACGAGTTATTACTGTAACTTAGCCTCCGTAAAGAGTTTCTTAGCTGAGAAACTCTTTACGGTGGCCAATTTAC